TGGAATTTTTATGGAGGCTTCATTACCCAGGCATTATCAATTGTTAATTCAATCTCCATTCCCTCTTTCCTTCTTTCAGGCTGGAGATGGAGCTGAAAGTTCCAAGCTTCTGATCATTGCTTGGCCTTTCTGGTGACCAGCTAGAGTCTCCTCATAAGAACAAAATGTGTTCCTATCACCCAGAAAATTTCCTGGGATTAAGCTGAGAGTTCTGTGTCTGGAACCAGGGTCTAAGACCAAATATTAGAACAAAAGATTCACCTAGAATCCTTATTGCTTGGGAAATTATGAGGGTTTTAGCAGCTCTGTGCCAGGAACCAGGGTCTTGCATTCAATCTATAGATTGCCTTGTGAAGTGTTGACATTTTAAAGTTATTAAATCTTTCAATTCATGAATACAGGATGTCTTTCCATTTATTTATATCTTCTTTAATTTCTGCAATTATAACTTTGGTTTAGTTTGGTTTTCTTTTTTCTAGCTCTATAAGGTGGAAAGCTAGGTAATTTATTTGAGATAGGCACTTATAGTTGTAAATTTCCATCTGAGCATGAGTTTTTGCTGCATCCTATAGGTTTTGGTAGGTTATACTTTTGTTTTCATTCATCACATAGTATTTTCTAATTTCCCTTGTGAGTTCTATATTGACCCATTAGTTGCCTAAGAGTGTGTTGTTTAATTTTGACATATTTGTGGGGTTTCATCCTGTTATTATTTTTTAGTTCATTCCATTGTGGTCAGAGCAGATAATTTGTATGAATTCAATCTTTTAAATTTATTGAGACTTGTTTTGTGGCTTTACATGTGATGTATCATGGATAATTTTCTATGTATCATTGAAAATGTTTATTTTACTTTTGTTGGGTGAAGTGTTCTCTATATGTATGTTAGATTTACTTGGTTTATAGTGTTTTAAAGTCCTTTATTTTCTTATTGATCTCCTGTCTATTCATTCTATCCATTGCTGAAAGTGGAATATTGAAGTCTTCAACTATTATTGCATAATTGTTTCTCCCTTCAATTTCTGTCAATTTTTTCTTCATTTATTTTTTGGACTCTGTTTTTATGTACATATATATTTATAATTGTTGCACCTTCTTGATGAATTTAACTTTTGTTAATATATCATTTCCTTCTTTGTCTTTTGTAACAATTTTCAACTTAAAGTCTGTGCCTCAAATATTTTGATGCTCTGTTGGTTAGGTACAGAAACTAGAAAACAATGTTAGAACTGTTATGCTTTGGAAGAATTGACCCCTTATCATTATGTAATGCCCCTTTTTATCCCTGATAATTTTTTATTTTTCCAAGACCAGTTATCTGAAATTAATATAGCTATTCTAGCTTTCTTGTGATTAGTGTTTGAATTTTATATCTTTTTATCCATCACATAATTTTTAACCTGTGCTATGTATTTAAAGGGGCTATCTTTTTTTAAGTGGCCATCTGTAGGCAATATATAGTTAGATTCTTTTGAAATACACACTATCTTTATGTATATATAATATATATGTGTGTATACACATACACACACATCTTTTCCAAGTTCATGTCAGACAGGCAAGGTACCAATGTCATAACAAAGTTTGAGGGAAGCACATCTCACACATGAGTGTGAAAACCAAAACCAAATCATCATGCTTATGAACTACAAAAGGATCACAGTGAAGATTTTTCTTTTATTTTGTGCATTTAGGCCATTTATATTAAGTAATTATTATTTTTATGAATATCTACTATATTTGGTATCTTTTTTTTGTTTGTTGCATTTTTCTTTGTTTCATCCTCACTTTATCTGCCTTCTTTGCTTTTAACTGAGCACTTTATGTTTCCATTTTATCTCCTCTCTTAGAATTTCAATTATACTTCTTTTTAAATGTTTTTGTGATTGCCTTAGAGTTTGCAATATATATTTTTTGATGAATCAAAGTTCTTCTCCAAATAACACTATACAGCATCACATGTAGTGCAGAAACCTTATAACAGATATTCTTCCCATACCCAGATTTTTCTTTCAGTCATTTCACCTCTACATATGCTATAGTCAGCCAATACATTTTTGCTACTATTACTTTAAATAGTTATATTTTAAAACAATTAAGAATAAGAATAAATTTAAATTTATTTTACATTAATTTATTCCTTCTCTGTTGTTTTTTTATTCCTTTCTGTATATATATCCAAGGTTTTGACCTGTATCATTCTCTTTCTCCCTGAAAAACTTACTTTAAAATTTCTTGCAAGGCAGGTCTACTAGTGACATATTTCTTCAATTTTTGTTTGTCTGAGAAAATAGTTATTTCTCCTTCACTTTTTTGGTGATTAATATTAGGTATAAGTTTGACTGGATTGAGCAATGCCTAAATAGCTGATGATGCATTGTTTCTGGGGGGGATTCTCTTGGCCTATCTTTACATTCACTGATTGTTTTTGTCCATATTCTGTCTACCGATGAGCCCACTCAAGGCATTCTTTATTTTTGTTACGGTGTTTTTTTTTTTTTAAAGAAGTATTTTTTTTTATTTTAAAATAATATATTCAGGATAATACAGGTCCAGTTTAAAAATATTTAAGATTAGGTTTCCACATTTAAAAACAGAACAAATCTGTAACTGTAAATTACAGCACTTAGTCACGATTGCCATATAATTCAACAAAACATTTTACATACAGAAATCCTAAAATGTATTGAAACTATTTTCACATTTGCCTACTTTCTTATTTTATTTTTGAAATTATACAAGATGCTTTATGGAATGAATGCCTGGAGTAGACAATAGAGGAAAAATACTATGAATATAAATATGAAAATAAAATTCTGGTATCCATTAATGTTCTCTGTTATGGAGAAACATTATTTCAAATGTGCTAATATTTTTATCACAAATAGTAGCAGGATATATTTAAATATTAGACAACCCACTTCACTGAAATACTCTGCAGGATAAAAAGAAAAAGTCAAATACTCTAACAATTCCAGGTCATTAGGAGGCTTTATGTGCTCATAAACAGATGATACTCTTACATTCTAATATATAAGCATAAGTTAATTTGGGGTATATGTAAATATTCAGATTCTGATTATTGTGAAATAGTACAAAGATCTCCTTATATTTGATGTAACACATGAAATAAATTCTTTAGAGGACAAAAAAGGAAAACAGCTATTTACTAGAATTCTATTTAAATCTAACAATTTAAAGGCTTTGTGTGTGTGTAAATAGCACTAAAAGAGAGATTCAAGAGTTTGCTAACATTTTTTTTATTTCTTAAGCCCTTTAAGTAAGGATATAACTAGAAACCTGGCTTCATTTCAAAGGAAAAACCATAGGTGATGTTCTCATGCTTCAGGTTAAAAATCTCTCTTAAAAGTCTATATTTGCTAAAGGCTTCCTAAAAGTATGCTTTTGTGGTTATTACCAATTTGATATTCAGCCAGAAAAACTGAAAATAATTATTAATCCCAAAGTACACTTTTAAAACTTCTACAAGGAATTATATTAAATGAAACCAAACTATAATTTTGGAGAGATCAAACTGAGTAGGAGACCAAATTGTATGAAAATTTACTCTCCCTTTCATCTGAGCCACACAGTCTCTATGTCTCAGTAACTACATAATTAGTCTTGTAATTGACTTATTTCTTTATACTTAAGGATCTTTATAACCTGCCATATTAGTTTAATTTAACATAAAATTGCAATACTGAGATTTGGTCACACTAGTGGATGTCTAGAATCCCTCTAGTGCATTCATTGGAAGGAATGGATTGCATTTAATATTAACTGTATGTATAAAATATAACATTGGTTAACAAACAAACCAAAACAAATGAACCATATCTCTACCTCAAAAAAAGACATAGAGCTCTCAAAATAAAAGAAATTCTTTGAATAAATCAAAATCAGAACACTGGGATTTTAATATAATGCAATTTTAATTTAAATGCAATTTGTCAAAAAATATTCAATCTTCTTTATAAAAAATAGCTATTATTTATAAATAATTGCTTTATAAATAATAGCATTATTCTTTCATCAAAAATTATCATAGCATTTAAATTATAGGTAATAAAATGCATATTTTCAGTGAATTTAAATTTTATTGCTTTAAAAAGCTGTATTTCTGCCACACACAAAAACAAAATATGCTGACGACATTTTTCTTTTAACTAGTTAAAGGCACAGTCCAGGCTGTCCATCTAAAACTTTGTCATAAATCTAAATAATTCATTCAAGTAGAAGATGACTCACTCTACCTAAGAAGCTTCCTCAAATTCCACATCCTCCTTGAAGACTTTCTGAATATTCTGGTAGCTGCTTTCTGTGTTTTCCTACAGCTTTTTTAGTTTACCTCTCTTGTAGTCTTCATTTCAATATGTCTTTTAGTATGGTTCATTCTTTACATGTCTCTTTCCTCTACTAAACTGCATATTCCTGTGGACAGGAGAGGAATGATACCCATATCCACAGTCTGGGCAAGAAAGTCTACACAGCAGGCACTCAAGGTGGGTTGAGTAAATGGAGAAGGCAAGGAACGGGAGTGCAGATATCAACACTGATGGCCTAACTATTATGTGGATTTTTTCCCCAAAGTGTACTTTAAAGCAAAGAATGCTTACCTTTAACCATCAATAGATACACACCCAAAAATAAACTGTCCAGTTTAAATAATATATTTGGAAATAATATATTTGGAGAGAGGGACTCCTAAGAATGGTTAGAAGAAACAGAAATAGCAATAGAAAGGAGGAGACATTTAATATGAGGGGGTGTCCAAATGTCCCTAAGTTATTGTAACCTATTAAGAAGTTTAGAAAACTAAAAAAGTAGTTGAAAATTCACATATTAAACCATATAGATTTGGTTAAAGAAAAAAGGCATTCAGAGATTACTTAAAATAACAAGTTAACAGTGCAAATACCACGTTGCTTTATGAGAATCTTACCATGTGCTTTTCTGCCCCCTCAAAAGAAAAAAAAAAGAATTAAAACACTCTCCAGTTTTAACACAAACAAAAGATAAATATTTATGAAGGAAAACAGATTCCACAGCATTCCATGCAGATTTCCAAACAGTCTGATGATTCACAACAGGCGTCCATGATGCCACAGTCCATGTCACAAGGGCAGTTACAGTCATCCCCCATTTCGTCTCCACAGCAACAGCAGCAGGCTTCTGAGGTGCAGATGCCACACGACGCTTGTCCCAGGACAATATTGCAGAGGGTCAGGAATTCACAGAACAAGCATGCCAGGATACAGTGGACACAGCAATCTTCAGGTGAAGAGCCTGTCTTTTGGGAAAAGACAGCATTTACTTTGCTCTTTTTACTGATATCGTTGTTTACAGACAAGCTGGACTGAATTTTTCTATGCATTTTTTGAGAAACAGGTGCTGAAAATTTGCGATTATCTGTGGATACGTGTTTGGCCCCGTGGTGAATTCCATTTCCATTGCTCAGACTTGTGTGGCCGTTCTTTATCTTGCTTATTTCCTCCTCGCTGGGTTCCTGTGCTGAAGTTTGAAGCAGAGGCAAACGCTGAGGTTGGGTTCTGATAAGTTCACCATCAAGAGGATTTCCCCAAATGGACTGGTCTTGTATCTCTCCATGTGTGAAGTGGCTATTGGTAGCTTGAGTTATATCTTTTTCAGTATTGTCTTTATCACATTTTCCTGAATAAAAAAAATATATATATACATTTATTATTGTTGAAGGTTACATCTTTTTCTCTCCTTTTTTTAGTTTATAGATTTTTTTCTAAATACTTCTAAGGCTTCCATAATTTAAGGAAATGAGAGAGGTATACATGGAGTGACTATTGCATATATTACTGGCTCAATAACAAATATTTAT